TGGTTTTGTCTTTAAAATTAAGTGCTTTTTAAACAAAAATAGAATTATCTCTTAGCGAATGGAATTTACTGTATCACAATGTTAAGATTTTAGAACTAGTAGATCTTAATCTCTCACAATGAGGGGCTCCCGCTACACAAATTAAAAGAGGAAAACCAGTCTTTTGTACTTTTTCATCTTCACTCAGATTTCTAACTTGAATTAACTAGTTCATTGAAATAAACTAAACTGAATAAACTGAAATGAAGAAAACTTCTCTGCACTTTTGCAGAAGAGGCCGCAGCCTTGAAAAACTGGTTTTCATCTGGTTTCCTTTAATAAACTCCAGCTTGGGTGCTTAGTCAATGACTTCTCCCAGTTCAGTGGTTTGGCATTTTTAAAAACTTTGATAGAAACATTGACTACTTTAATATTCTTTAGTTTAAATTCAGAGATTATAGTAAACTTATGTCTTGATATAGGTTGAGAACATAAGGTGGATGAACCTCCATTGGGTGCGTAGCTGGCAGTGCTTCCTCTAAGCTGTGTGGCAGGCGCGCCTGGCAGCCACGCATGCCACACAGCTTATAGGGAACGCTGGTGGCTGAACTGGCAGCTACTTGGGAATGGGAACCAGATTTTCTAGTAGCCTAGAGTTTCAGGCTAGGAGACTAGAGATCTATAGAAATTCACTGGGGAGATTCAGATTATACATGAGGTCCCATACCCAGTCTGTATAAAGCCAGTGACACACCTCTTCCTTTGCGTGCTCAGATGCTTTCTGTATTTTTGGAAAGTAATGGGGAAGTTACTGATGCTGTGAGCTGCAGTAATGTACTATGGAATCACGCTATCAAGCCATATTTATTGCTTTCGTTAGGTCACATTGCTATGTCTCCGGAATGCGTGTATGCTAGTTTGATTTCATACACGCTATGCCTCTTCGTTTTGAGAGGTTGTCAGAGACACAGCTACCGTGGGGTAGTAGCCCAATACTTAAAGTTACCACCATTGTATTGGTAGAGCATGTCTATGCCAGCATTTTGCTAGAGCTGCATGTCAGCTTGTGTGGCACAGGAAGGTTGTTTTCTTTAGGCAGCAGAAAGGCTGGGTTTTGGTGGCTCGCAACAGATATGTGGTGCAAAAGGCAAGGTCTATCGGAAAGCTTTGTAGTGGAGAACAGGCTTCTCTTAAAATGACTCTCAGGCAAACAGTTCCCATTGAGCGGTCGATTCCATAAATCCTACTCCCTAGCAACATCCCCTTTGGATAGTTGAAAACAAATTCCTCTCCTATAGCAGCAGAGGGGCTAGAAATAGTTGTGTGGAAGGGCAGAAGCTAACATATAATTGTTATTTTTGTTGTTTTCCCCTGCCTTGCTGTACACAGTAAGGATGTGTGTTCCCTACTGGCTTGCATGAAGTTAAGTTAGCACAGGACCCTAGCCATACAGAAGTCAAACACTGGCATTTGTTTTTTAAGAGGCAGCTAAATGCCAGGACTTCTTGGGAACATTGAAACTGCAAAGGCTGAAAGAGGGAAATAAAATCTTAAAAGTTCAGTTAATTAAGAATCTCCCTCTCACTCTGTATGTGCATCACACACACACACACACACACACACACACACACTCTCTCTCTCTCTCTCTCTCTCTCTCTCTCTCTCTCTCTCTCTCTCTCTGAGCTGTCATATGTATATATCCACTCTTATTCTTGACATCCATACAAATGTCCAAACCCTTTTTGAATCTTTTGAAGTTCTTGACCTCAGTGATAGTTTAATTATACGAATCCTGAAGAGACTGATGCATAATCACAACTTTAAGAACATTAGTTTACCTGTGGTCCAGTGTGTGAAAGCTAAGCACTAACCACACTGAGGCCTACAAAAATTGCCCAGCGTCACACATGGGAAATTCCGCTGAACTGACCTCTTGCTGAGGAAATCTATCTTGAGTCTCAGTGTGGCTTCAGACCATTCACACCTGGGCCAAGGGTTAGCGAGGATTTAGTTAGGGAGCTTCTGGAGGGGCTGGACGTTTTCAAGTCAGCTGGTCCGGATGATCTCCACCCTAGAGTTCTAAAGGAACTGGCCAAGGTCAATGCAAGTGCCCTGGCACGGCTTTACGAGCACTCGTGGTGCTCTGGAGAGGTGCCGGAGGACTGGAAGAGGGCCAACGTGTTTCCCATCTTCAAAAAAGGGAGGAAGGAGGACCCGGGAAACT